TGTGATTGGCTGATTAGCAATTTGTGTTACCAAGCAATTGAATAGGTGTACCTAATAAAGTGGCCAGTGAGTGTAAGACCATGAACAGTCCATCTTTTCAGTATGCACAGTATAAGGCTAGGTTCACGTCTGTGTGGCTCTGTGATCCACGTTTTCCACAAGCACGGCAGCCCATTAATTTGAATTGGAAAAAAGGTCCCTGCATGCAGCATTTCAGAAATCGAAGTCCACACAGGAACCGCAAGTGTGGTTCCCAGTGTGGGAGCAATTTCCAGTGCATGCAGCATTCCATCAGCATTAATGGCACCTGCATTTTTCTGTGGGGGTGGTCATGGCTGTGAGAACAGGTACATTCCTGCAGCTGTAATCCCCCACACAGATGTGAACCAAGCCTAATTCAAAAATGGAAAACAACTTTAAAGCAGAACTGAACCTTAAAAACTGAAGTTCTGCTTTTCCTCCTCCTGTTCTCCTTCTCTAACACTTTTAGAAACTTTTTTTTTTGGGGGGGAGTGGGTACCTAGTTTTGACAGGTACCCGCTCCCACTTCCTCTCCAGATCACCTACCTCCCTGCTTGCAACTTCCTGGAATATGTCACAGGTCCCAGGAGTTTGCAGGTTAATTCACAAATCACAGCGTGAGTCGTGCATGTTCAGTGAAAAGCCACCTGTAAAGCTTCAGGAAGTCCCAGCTGGCTTCCCACATGCAAGATGGTAGCACCGGGGACCAAAAGACCGATGAAGAACAAGACAAGAACAGCACTGGATCCCTGGACTGGCAAGTGGGTGTTTTTTAAAAGTCAGCAGCTACAGTATTTGTAATGATTGTTTTTATTTTATTTTTTTTTAAACCACTGTAGCTCCTTTACGCAGCGTTTTTAGGCATACAGGTTTTTTTTTATTTTTTTACTGATGCAAATGCAGACCATTGTGTACACAGGCAGTGGCAAAGTTAGACACTTGGGGCATAGACTCAGTTTAGCAACCGAGAAAGAAGGCCTACACAATCACCTCAATGGTGACGTTTGACTGAGCCAATTTCAAGCTTCACTTACATAGCCAATTAGGAGGAGAGCCGACGGGAGAGAAGAAGTGAGCCTAAGGCCTCTTCTTTCTTCCTAGTGGTGCCACTCCCAAACTGCTGCGGAGGTGAGGCTCGAAACTACAGGAAAAATATAGGTTTGCCTTTGGGTGTCCGAAACAGAGCAGTAATGCATCGTGCGTAGCATGCCGAGGTGAACACTGGGTGTGGCCAAATTGCATTACCAGTGGAAGGAGCTTAAAGGGGCATGCTTAAATAAAACAAAAGCATTCTTGTACCCATAAAATATGCTTAGGTTAATATAACAAATGTCACTGTAAAAATATGAACTTGGCCTACCTTAAAAGTGGACAGTGTCAGTAGGGTAGTGGACAGTGTGTGGACAGTGTCAGTAGGGCAGTGGACTTTGTGTGGACGGTGTCAGTAGAGCAGCAGAAAATGTCAGTAGGGCAGATGTGCTCTGTTGATGGAAGTGGATCACAGGCACTCTGTAGAGGAAGGGGGGCACTGGTTGTCAGGAATGGACTTGCCAGTAATGGTGGGACTCACCTGCCTTGTGGGCTGCAGTACCAGGGCTGGCCAGCGGGTGCTCTCAGCAATCAGAGACTCAACCCTGTAGTCAGCCAAACACCTGAAGCCGATTATGCAGGTGTATTTAAGGGATGGCCAGACCTGCAGTCTGTGCCTTGGTGTGTGCTGTTCTATGGGCCCCTGTATCTTGTTACCTGCATCCCTGTTCCTGTCTGACTGATTCGTTGCTGACCCTGCCTGATCCGGACCTCTGCTGACTTCTCCTGTTTGATCCCTGGCTTGTGACCCCGACCATTCTCTGCCTGACCCCCTGTAACTACCTGCCTGTTAGTTGCTGTACCCCGCTCGTCGTGACCTGACTACTCTCTGCCTGGTCCTCCTGTTCCTACCTGCCCGATTGTTATTGACCCGGCCTGCCTGACGACGCTTGCATTGCATGTATTGTTATCTGTGGGTGGTTTGGTTTGGTTCGTTTGCACTGTGTTATGTTTTAGTATTGCACTGCGTTTATGTATTGTTAGTGTTAATAAATTATATTGTTTATAACATATCTGAAGCCTGCGTTTCCCTGCGTCAGTTCACATACCTCTGGTCATACCCTGGAGCCCTGACATTACACCAAGGCCAATCCTGACCAGAAGTGGCTGCACAGGGAAGCCATCTTGGCTTGTTGCTGGGAAGGATGGATCTTGATGAGGTTGTGTATTTATATCTGCTAGTGTTTGATGACAGAGAATATGCTTATCAGACTCTGAAGGAGTATCCCAGGGATCAACTACTAAAATGTATACGGATCGCTCATTGCCTAGTAGATCAGGGCACAGAATTCTCTGAGGTGCAGCCATTGATTCAGGTTTGTGCTGAGTTGGTTTCATCTGGTACCCCCGAATGCAGGGATGAATTTTTGCCGCCATTTAGTGCCGACCAGGTAGAGTCCCTGGTATGGTTTATTGGAGGATGATGTGGATTACTTTCTGGAGCGTTATTCTGCATGTTCACCACAGATACTAAGAGATTGTATAAACCCAGTGCAGTCTTTGACCAGACAGGCTTTGTGTAAGCTGAGCTTTGTTCAACCCATACTGCAGACATGGTCAGACTTGTTGCACACAGCCTCAGTCAGCTTGCAACGTCATTCCTCCGCTCAAGGCACTCTTCCTGCATCCCCGACAGCACCCCCAGTGACTGCCCAGTATACTCTGCTAACTACCACATATTAGTCCTCTGCTCCCCACTCGCTGCACCTATCCTTTCTTTAACCCTGTAAAGAAGTCCTCTGTAGCAACTGCTCCCTCCTCTGTTCCATCTTCCAGCTCTTCTCTGTCCTCAGCTGCTCCATGCGTTTGCAGACCTGCGTTTACTTGCAGTGCTCCAGTAGTTAAAACCAGAAAAAAGCAAAAATTCTTTCCAACCAGTACCATCCTGCCAGTATCCAAACCGGTGAGCCTGCCGTCTGAGAACCTGCCTTCCGTGGTTCAGCCTGGTGCCTCGGCACCTGCACTTCAGCCTGATGTCTCTACCCAGCCTGATGTCTCTACCCAGCCTGATGAACTGATCCAGCCTGATGATCCTATCAAGCCTGATGACCCAGTGCCCGCTGTCATACCTGGTGACCCGATCCCCGCTATCGAGCCAGACGATCCAATGCCTGATGACCCAGTGCCCGCTGTCATCCTGGTGACCGATGCCCGCTGTGGAGCCAGACGATCCGGTACCTGATGACCCGTGCCCGCTGTCATAACCTGGTAATTCTGAAGGACCCTCTGCACACTGGTATATACCCTTTCAAGCAAACTATGCAACAAATAGGGATATTTGGTTCACACATATTGCAATACATGTTTAAGCTGGCCAACTGCGTCAAAGTAATCCCTCTATGGCCAGTCCTACTCTGCCCTGCCTACGCAAGTGCTACTGTGGACACAAGGGTATATACCAGTGTGCAGAGGGTCCTTCACAGAATTTCTAGAGTTAATGTGGTTACACCCCTTTAGCACCTGATGGATAAATGCATGCACTAGCTGTATGGATTGAGCACAGGGATCTCTTGTTTGTTGTATTGTTGGGTCAGTAGCCAGACCTGAACCTTGTAGCTCTCCCCATTGTGTCTTTTCCCCTATGCTAGCATTGTGTCCACAGTAGCACTTGCGTAGGCAGGGCAGAGTAGGACGCTGCCATAGAGAGATTACTTTGACGCAGTTGGCCAGCTTAAACATGTATTGCAATATGTGTGAACCAAATATCCCTATTTGTTGCATAGTTTGCTTGAAAGGGTATATACCAGTGTGCAGAGGGTCCTTCAGAATTTCTAGAGTTTAATGTGGTTAAACCCCTTTAGCACCTGATGGATAAATGCATGCACTAGCTGTATGGATTTGAGCACAGGGATCTCTTGTTTTGTTGTATTGTTGGGTCAGTAGCCAGACCTGAACCTTGTAGCTCTCCCCATTGTGTCTTTTCCCCTATGCTAGCTAGCATTGTGTCCACAGTAGCACTTGCGTAGGCAGGGCAGAGTAGGACTGGCCATAGAGGGATTACTTTGACGCAGTTGGCCAGCTTAAACATGTATTGCAATATGTGTGAACCAAATATCCCTAATTTGTTGCATAGTTTGCTTGAAAGGGTATATACCAGTGTGCAGAGGGTCCTTCAGAATTTCTAGAGTTAATGTGGTTACACCCCTTTAGCACCTGATGGATAAATGCATGCACTAGCTGTATGGATTTGAGCACAGGGATCTCTTGTTTGCTGTCATACCTGGTGACCCGATGCCCGCTGTCGAGCCAGACGATCCAGTACCTGATGACCCGTGCCCGCTGTCATGCCTGGTGACCCGATGCCCGCTGTCGAGCCAGACGATCCAATGCCTGATGACCCAGTGCCCACTGTCATGCCTGGTGACCCGATGCCCGCTGTCGAGCCAGACGATCCAGCGCCAGATGACCCGGTGCCCGCTGTCGATCCAGACGATCCGGTACCTGATGACCAAGTGCCTGCTGTCATGCCTGGTGACCCGATGCCCGCTGTCGAGCCAGACGATCCAGCGCCACATGACCCGGTGCCTGCTGTCGAGCCAGACGATCCGGTACCTGATGACCCGGTGCCCGCTGTCGTGCCAATTGACTCAGAGCCCACTGTTGTGCCTGGTGACTCGGTGCCCACTGCCTTGCCAGATGACGCGGTGCCCGCTGTCGAGCCAAATGACCTGATGCCTGGTGACCCGATGCCCGCTGTCCAGCCAGACGATCCAATGTCTGACCCAGTGCCCGCAGTCATGCCTGGTGACTCGGAGCCCACTGTCGTGCCTGGTGACTCGGTGCCCCACTGCCTTGCCAGATGACGCGGTGCCCGCTGGCGAGCCAAATGACCTGATGCCTGGTGACCCAGTGCCCGCTGTCATACCTGGTGACCCGATGCCCGCTGTCGAGCCAGACAATCCAATGCCTGATGACCCGGTGCCTGCTGTCATGCCTGGTGACCCGATGCCCGCTGTCGAGCCAGACGATCCAATGCCTGATGACCCAGTGCCCGCGGTCATGCCTGGTGACCCGATGCCCGCGCTGTCGAGCCAGACGATCCAGCGCCAGATGACCCGGTGCCTGCTGTCGAGCCAGATGACCCGGTACCTGATGACCCGGTGCCCGCTGTCGTGCCAATTGACTCAGAGCCCACTGTTGTGCCTGGTTACTCGGTGCCCACTGCCTTGCCAGATGACGCGGTGCCCGCTGTCGAGCCAAATGACCTGATGCCTGGTGACCCGATGCCCGCTGTCCAGCCAGACGATCCAATGTCTGACCCAGTGCCCGCGGTCGTGGCCTGGTGACTCGGAGCCCACTGTCGTGCCAGATGACTCGGTGCCCACTGCCTTGCCAGATGACGCGGTGCCCACTGGCGAGCCAAATGACCTGATGCCTGGTGACCCGATGCCCGCTGTCGTGCCTGGGGGCCCGGCGCCCGCCGCTCCGCCTGGGGGCCCCAGTGCCTGCCGCGCTTCTCCTGGGGGCCCGGTGCCTGCCGCTCCTCCTGGGGCCCTGTGCCTCTGCCCGGAGTCCAGCCCGATGTGCCTCTGCCCGGAGTCCAGCCCGATGTGCCTCTGCCCGGAGTCCAGCCCGATGTGCCGCTGCCCGGAGTCCAGCCCGATGTGCCGCTGCCCGGAGTCCAGCCCGATGTGCCAGTCTTTGATATCCCGCCAGTTACCAGACCCGGGCGGTGGAACATTTTGCCCAGCTATGACTGTTTGGAGCATCCTGAGGCCGCTCCTTGAGGGGGGGGTACTGTCAGGAATGGACTTGCCAGTAATGGTGGGACTCACCTGCCTTGTGGGCTGCAGTACCAGGGCTGGCCAGCGGGTGCTCTCAGCAATCAGAGACTTAACCCTGTAGTCAGCCAAACACCTGAAGCCGATTATGCAGGTGTATTTAAGGGATGGCCAGACCTGCAGTCTGTGCCTTGGTGTGTGCGCTTTTCTATGGGCCCCTGTATCTTGTTACCTGCATCCCTGTTCCTGTTCCTGTCTGACTGATTCGTTGCTGACCCTGCTTGATCCGGACCTCTGCTGACTTCTCCTGTTTGATCCCTGGCTTGTGACCCCGACCATTCTCTGCCTGACCCCCTGTACCTACTTGCCCGTTAGTTGCTGTACCCGGCTCGTGACCTGACTACTCTCTGCCTGCTCCTCCTGTTCCTACCTGCCCGATTGTTATTGACCCGGCCTGCCTGACGACGCTTGCATTGCATGTATTGTTATCTGTGGGTGGTTTGGTTTGGTTAGTTTGCACTGTGTTATGTTTTAGTATTGCACTGCGTTTATGTATTGTTAGTGTTAATAAATTATATTGTTTATAACTAGAGATGAGCGAATTATTCAAAAATTCGATTCGGCTGATTCGGCGAATTTGGCGGAATAAATTTGATTCGAGTCGAATATATTCGCTGCGAATTTAACTTATAAAAAGGGTGTTTCTAGGCTTCAGAGAGCCTTTATATTAGTGCAGAACACTGTACCTTTAATTTAAATGCCCTTGGAGTCTGCTGGGGAAGAGAAATAATACTGTCAGTCAGTATGACATGCAGATGAGTGCCGTCGATCTTAGAATCACCGCACACTTCACTCATTTGGGCAGTCACGGGGCCAAAACCAGAGTGTGGAGCCACAGTGTGGCGGTGGAGGCAGCAGCAATGGGAGGCCATACAGCACCCTATGAAAAAATGGAACCCACCAGCAGTGTGAGGAGACCTGAAAGTGGCACATGGCAGAGTGTGGCGATGGAGACAGCAGCAATGGGAGGCCGTACAGGGACCCATGACACACTCTGGACCTGGCAGCAGCATGAGGATGCGGTACAGGGGCCCATGACAGATTACGGGCCTGGCAGCAGCATGAGGAGTCGGTACGGGGGCCCATGGCAGATTACGGGCCTGGCAGCAGCAATGGGAGGCCCGTAATCTGCCAGCACCCTATGACAAAATGGAACCCACCAGCAGTGTGAGGAGACCTGAAAGTGGCACATGGCAGAGTGTGGCGATGGAGACAGCAGCAATGGGAGGCCGTACAGGGACCCATGACACACTCTGGACCTGGCAGCAGCATGAGGAAGCGGTACAGGGGCCCATGACAGATTACGGGCCTGGCAGCAGCATGAGGAGTCGGTACGGGGGCCCATGGCAGATTACGGGCCTGGCAGCAGCAATGGGAGGCCCGTAATCTGCCAGCACCCTATGACAAAATGGAACCCACCAGCAGTGTGAGGAGACCTGAAAGTGGCACATGGCAGAGTGTGGTGATGGAGACAGCAGCAATGGGAGGCCGTACAGGGACCCATGACACACTCTGGACCTGGCAGCAGCATGAGGAGGCGGTACAGGGGCCCATGACAGATTACGGGCCTGGCAGCAGCATGACGAGTCGGTACGGGGGCCCATGGCAGATTACGGGCCTGGCAGATGACGACAAGGCTGCCAAGTGTGATCAGCCTCATCATCATCAATTAGGGTCTCCGCCTCACTACTAGCCCCCTCGGCTGCGTGTGGGTCAGGAGACAGACCTGTCTCTAGACTGGCTACCGAGCCACTCTCCTCGCCAGTACTTCTTCGCCTGGCTGCTGAAGAGGCGGATGTCTCCCCCCGTTCCTGACCGCCCTCTGTTAGCTCTTCCTCACTGTACAGTGGGGCTGAGCCCACAGCATGCGATACTTCACTTGGTGAGGGAACACCAAAGGACAGGGGCAGGTAGAGGACACGTGATTTCAGTGGGCTTGCTCCCGGGCCATGCCAACTAACGGTTGTGTCTGACGTACCCACCGACCGTTGGCTGTAGGTGTCAGAGGTGACCTGGGAAGAGGAAGACGACCGAGCCAACCAATCGATGACGGCAGGGTTGTCGGTGGAGACACGACCGCTGGATGACACCGGGAGCACTGGCCTCTGGCTGCGACTAGTGTTGCCTCGACCCCTTCCTCTGCTGCCCACGTCTGCTCGCTCCTGAAACATTGCCTCCTCTGCCACTCCTCTGCGTGTTGTCTGACATACTCTTTAATTCAACGATTCTGTGTCCCTGAGTAACGATTCTGTGTCCCTGAGTAACGATTCTGTGTCCCTGAGTAACGATTCTGTGTCCCTGAGTAACGATTCTGTGTCTGTCCCTGAGTAACGATTCTGTGTCCCTGAGTAACAATTGTGTCCCTGAGTAACAATTCTGTGTCCCTGAGTAACGATTCTGTGTCCCTGAGTAACAATTCTGTGTCCCTGAGTAACGATTCTGTGTCCCTGAGTAACAATTCTGTGTCTGTCCCTGAGTAACGAATCTGTGTCCCTGAGTAACAATTCTGTGTCCCTGAGTAACGATTCTGTGGCCCTAAAGTCTCTCTGGCCCTAACTCTGTCCCTAATACAGACAGGTCTGTCTCTCTTGAATGACCGGAGGCTAATGGAGAATTGTAAGATGGCCGCAATTTATAGCTCCACCATTACAAGTGGGGGGGGTATGAGGAATTAGTTGTGGGGGGACAGTGCTGGCTGGCTGGCTGCTGATTGGCTAATGCGATCACGTCATGAATGAATGCATTATGGGTCAGCGCGCCTTGTCTGCGCGCCTTCCCAAGATCCGCGCTCCGTCGCCACACATGTCGCCGCCGTTTTTGGAAAATTCGATTCGTGCATCCGAAGTTTGCTAATTTTCGGATTCGGCGCGAATCGAATTTTTCCTGATCTTCGAAACGAATTCCACTTCGCCATGTTCGATTCGCTCATCTCTATTTATAACATATCTGAAGCCTGCGTTTCCCTGCGTCAGTTCACATACCTCTGGTCATACCCTGGAGCCCTGACACTGGTGCTCTCTGGAGTGAGAAGAGGAGCACTGGCACTCTTTGGAGGGAGAAGGGGGTCACTGATGCTCTTTAGAGGGAGAAAAGGGTCACTGGTGCTCTGTGGAGAGAGAAAAGGGCACTGGTGCTCTTCAGAGGAAGGGGGGTACTGGCACTCTGTAAAGGGAGAATGGAGGTATTGGCGCTTTGCAGAGGGAGGGGGACACTTTTCCTCTGTGGAGGGGGGGGGCATAGGCACTATGCAGAGGCAGAAAGGAGGCACTGCTGATCTGCCGGGAGGTGGAAGAGAGCACTGACACTCTATGGAGGGAGGCACTGACGGAGGCTGGAGGCTAAGAGAGGTAAGTTAGACTGATTTTAGGGGTGCTGGATCGTCTTTAAGCCCAGCTAGAAGGCCTGGTAGCAGCTACCGACCCACAAGCAGCACAGGAGAGTGACCAAGTGAGTAGACCTGCACCCCCTGGGTCACATAGAGGAAGAAGCACTCTGGTGGGAAACCAAAGAAGGCAGCAGAAGGCGCTGTTAGGCCAGTGCTGGGCAATTAGCAGGCTACCTTCTGCCAAGCTGTAGCTTTCTGTATGCTCTGACAACTACTGTTACCACCTAGTTCTCCAACATGCCCACATTCCATCCACTGCCCTTGCCTCAACTGCTCACAAAAAACACACCGCGCATGTGCATCTGCCCCCAGCTGCTGGAAAGCAAGAAAAAGGCAATGAAGGTGAAATGCACCGTCCAAAGCTAACTATGGACACAGCCAGAGCATGAGGAAGGAGAGCCAGAGCATACAAAGCAGTACGTCCATCTATGACATGGATTAGCAGTGAGGGGAAAGGGGGAGCACAGCTCCATGTCTTTGCCCTGGGTGCTGGACAAGCCAGGGTCTCAATGAATGGCACCACAGTGCATCAGCATGTTACCGTGTATATTACTGCAACACAATGGTGTGAATTGCCCCTAAAGGGAATCTGTTTGTAGGTGGTAGGGGACCGGGCAGTAGGCGCCCCTGAGGGAAGGCATGGCACACACAGTGCTTAAAATAGCAGAACTTGCATTATCAAAATGTTCTAGTATCCAGTAACAAAGCCTATGCAGTGGCTTAGAACTGGTAGCAGCACTCACAGAATGGTAAGTGGCACTTGCAGAGAGTGATGCACCGAGACCGGCAGCACCAAGCATAGAGGGGGAGCTAGAGGGCTGATGCAGAAATAACTGGTAGCAGAAAGGTTCCCCTTTTGAAGCGCTCATGACAGTCCTTATACTGTCCCTCCTCCCCTGGTATCTCTACGTACACTAGTCACAGTCTCCCTGTCAAGCAGGTTTCTGTCCCTAACCTAACCACACGCAGAATGCGCACCAGCCGCAGGTGGACAGTACTTTTTATACACACTGTCCTCATTAAAGAGAGCCACAGGGTCACTAGGGTGGCAGTGTCCAATCGGACAGCAGTCCACCAGATGACACATATGGAGGCCTAAGAGGAATGGGCATTCCTGCTGTCCTCGATTCTCCCCACAGGGTGGTGCAACCCCACCACCTGTGTAGGCATGTTAAGCTGCACCTGCCTACATGTTAGCTTGCCCATTTATAGACTTCATGTTGGACACTGCTGAAACGTACACATGGTTATTGATCTTTCCTAGGTCTGGCGATTGGCTATTCACACTGCCTGTGGGGTGGTAACGTGCTCCCCTATAACCAGATGTTTTCTAGGCTTTGACTGAGAAACCTTTTTTCAGGTTTGCATTGCTGTCTGTGTTCTAGGTTTCCATCACACCCTGTTCTAAAAAAACAACAGGAAGTGAAAGGAACTTGTCCTATTGGACACACTGTGAGCAATAGAAAACTCAGGGAGGGCCGTAACACTCTTCTGTTCATTCCAAAACTGAGCTGTTTCATCCGGAGTTCTGCTTTAGGAAGAACTCACTATACAGAATTTCACACTAAAATAACAAAATATGTTTGGTGGTGAGAGAAGAGGAGCCCATATGAGAGGGCACCATCAATGACATGTGCCTAGGACACATGGCCGTTAATTGGAGCCCCGGATATTTGTTCAATTATAAGAAGGCATTTTAGAATAATAAAAGCACAGGCTTTAAAATGTCAATATTTGCTTTTAAGGATGAACTCACTGAACGGTCTGTATGGATTTTACAGAAGGGAAAGCATCATATGCATGTGCTCTCAGGCTGGTAAATTGCTTATTTGGTGATTACAGCAATAGCCTGTTACTAAGTAATAGCTACCATGTTGGTTTTTCCAATAACAAACACAATATGCCATAACAAGATGTCCCAATCACTGCTGGTACAGTTCTATTAAGAAGAGGGAGAGTGATATAAGCTCACGTGTATTAGGAACAAACTCTTTAGAGGCATTGTCAACGATTTCATCTCATTCATTTCACACATCTTCACGTGCAGAGACATTAGAGCTTATTTATCAACTGGATGTCATCTGTACAAATGTGGTTTTCCATATGCCAGCCAATGAGACCAGATAGCTCAGACAGTAAAAACATATTTATAAAGCACTAAATGTGTCTATCACATGTGTCTATCACAAAACGTTTACTGGTGGAGGATCATTGTCACTTAACCACTTGCCTGCTTGGCACTAAGGTTGTCACCTCCTCCCTTTAAAACCGAACACTTAATTACACGGGTCCTGTGGCTGATTAAGGTGGTAATTAAACTCACCTGGTGCCTTATCTGCATTAAATTAGCATCAGAACCTGTGTAACCTGGGTTCATACCTAAGCGTTTTTCTGCAGTGTTTTGCAGAAATGCAGTACAGTCCATTTAACATGATTTTCTATTGGACAGGTTCACATCTCCGTGTTTTAACCCAATGCTTTTTTTGGAAAGGACCAGGGACTTTTTTGAATGCAAAAAGCTGCATTTTTATTTCTATAGACTTCACTGGAAACACTGCAGAAAAGCATGTATTGCATTTTTATGGCGTTTTGCCGCATTTTGTATGTGTTTTAAATCTGCCTAGTGACAAGAAAAAATAAAAAAAATACAAAATGCATCAAAAACGTGTCAAAAACACATAAAAAACACAAGTGCTTAAACGCAAAGCGCAATGCAGAAACAGCTCAGATGCATAGGTGTGAACCTAGACTCACTAATATGTATTTGTTTTTTATAGGGATGAAGTGGCAATCCTGCTGGGCACTTTTACCCCCTTCCTGCCCAGGCCAATTTTTAGCTTACAGCGTTGTTGCACTTTGAATGACAATTGCAAAGTCATGTGACACTGTACCCATATGAAATTTTTTTATAATTTTTTTCACTGGGTTTTTTATTTTTTTTGCACTATAAACGAAAAAATAGCAACAAATTTGAAAAATAAAACATTTTTCTTTATTTCTATTATAAATTTTGCAAACAGGTAATTTTTCTCCTTTACTGATGTGCGTTGATGAGGCTACACTAATAGGCAGCACTGATGGACAGAATTGATGCTTACTGATGCGGCAGCACTGATGGGCACTGATAGGCTGCACTGATGAGCTGGCACTGGTGGGAACTGATGAGGAGGCACTGATGCTGCTGCACTGACTGGCGGCACTGATGGGCACTGACTGGTG